GAATGTTGAAAGCTATAGAGAGTGACTAAGGTTTTGGGTTGAAAAACTAAAAATTCAAATATTGAAAATTTTTGTGATGGTGTCATAACGCCAGGGTTAGTGGCATCATGATAATAAGCTTTTGGACCCATCTTTCTGATATAGATGTGGGAGAAATTCTGACCCCGCTTACTAGAGGTAGGTGCGGGGGGTAAAAGGAGGCATAAGTGGAAGAGGAGATTTAAGCAAGCATCAGAATATGTGTTTGATATGCATTGCATTTCATATATTAATATTTAACTAAATAAGCTTAAGGAGTGTTCAAAATTATGTTTAGTAAACTTTCAGTTTCTGTATGAATTATGCTTGAAAAATAAAAGTGAGAATGAAATGCAAGTGAATCTCTAAAATTAAGTATTATGTACAACATTTGAAAACTTTTGTGAAATGGTTAGGTGATTTTGAAAGTATAAGTGCCAGCTCAAGGATCAGGTATATACTAAGACTTTGGAACACTCGGGCTCTTCTTATACTTTAACTAATTTACAAGTTTTTATGTTTTTCTTTAAGCAACTGCTTAAACTAATTACACTGAATATTTTTATCTATGAGGGGTAAGTGAATGAGTCTACTGGGTTAGTTAAGATTACTTTATTCTTTTAAAGTTTCAGGAAAAAGAAAAGGTCCTACCTAGTAGGTTAAGTGTTGAGGCATGGTTTTGGACCAGGATTCCTAATGTATGAATTTGTAATCCAGCAATTAATTGATTGATGTACAGACTTTTGTGATCCGAATTATTATAATTATATTTTGATGAAATGAATGTTGATTACACTGTTTTTATATTTTGATAGTTTAATAGCTCTCGTTGTAACTATTAGGTGATAATTTATTTAATTATAAGTTTAAGTAAGTTCAATCCTTCCATTAGATCCTAGGGCGGTACTATAGTCCTCCCACTAAATCTATTACTGCTAAAATTACACTCCATATATTCAATTTTAGATCTACTAAAAAAACTTTTATACTCTAAGTTTGACCTCCATAATTAAAATTTTCCTTCAACTCCCTCTCTAGTCTTACCAACAAGAAGAATATTATCAACAAAAAGTAAATACTAGGGTACAACCGCTTGTAAATGTCTAGTAAGAATATCCATGACTAAAGAAAAAAAAAAGAAGATATGGGCTTCAAGTTGATCCTTGATGTAATCTAACTGAAAAAAAAAGAAGATCATCTTAAAATTAAATTAAGTTAAAAATACTTCAATAAATTGCAATTACTTTGTTGAAATATCTTTTTTTTTTTTTGAAATTTACAAAAACTTATATAACTCTAGATCATCCTCTACAAGTATAACTGCCCTTCACAGATGAGGGGAAACTCACTCGTCTTAAATTCTTCTTCATAAGCTCTTGTTATTTCTCCTAAAAGAGGCTTGACACTATCTTGTTTTGGCGAAATATTCTCATTTTACAAGCTCTAGTTTTTCTCTACTATGAGTATTGAACTACCTGTATAGACAAAGTACTTTTCTTTTATAGGCTTTTACTATTAAAAGAAGTTCACACCTATCTTGCATAAGCAATGCATAATCCCTAATTCATAAGCTTTAGTACTCCATTGCAGATGGCTTGATAGGTGGTGTGTATTGCCATCATAGACTTCAATTCTTCTTCACTAAGAGTACCGAACTATCCTTCACAGGTGGAACTATGATCAAAATTTAAGATTTTTAATCCTTGTGATGGAGCTCTAGTCTTCCTCTTGAAAGGGAAGCACTATACTTGTTTGGTCATATTGAGGTCCAAAATGAGTGTTTTTTTAACCCAATTTTGAGATTCTAACTTCCTCCCCCTATTGAGGCAATTGCTTAAAATTTTAGTTCACCATTTGTGATAAATGGGGATTGATGCAACGAGTGTCTTTGGCAACATATTGAGATGATGATAAGAGAAATCCCAACAAAATTACTCGAAATTTATTTGGGGACTCCCCCTATTGAGGCTTATATCTTTTAAGATAAAAAATAACATGTATCATTTGGGGACTCAACCTTTTATGATTTTTGGGAATTTGTGTCTTTTAAAGTTTATAGATTTTGAGATTTATGGAGACTACCTTTTGATGCTTACTTCTTTTGATATTTATGGGGAATCTACACTTTAAGAGGCTCTAATATTCTGAGATTTTTTTTTAACGAGTGGACATCAAACCAAATACTTACTCTCATAGATTCTTTCTACTGAGAAATATATCCTCTACTAGCTTTCAATTGAGGCTTCCTTCCAAGCATACCTTTCAAGTGTTTAGAGTAGAGATCCTATCGATCATGCCGACATGGGATCTTTTAAATAAAAAGTAAAATGCAATTTTTTTTTTATAAAACTTATTTATAAAAAATATATATATAAACTTACATAATGGAGATATAGTATATATCCTTATTTTTATGTTAGATCTATTAGATATGCATGATAGTCTGAAATCAAATATGTGAGAATTACATCATTTACGGTGAAAACAACTGAAAATTATAGTGAATTCATCTTATGTCAAAGTCTATCTTATGATATTATAATAGCTGTCAATAAGGACAGATTGATTCAAATCTTTTAAGGCTACCATAAGATTAACGGTTAGCTAAGTAGCACATAAAGAATGGGTTGATGTGGCTGTGCTTAAGAAGACATGATAAGGGTATGGTGAAAGAAGAAATTTAGTGTGATGATGAGAGGAACACTTGAAAGGGATGAAGGATTTGAGCATGGTGCTCTTCCATCATGTGCATATGATATGCAAAGTTAAGTCTTAATAGCCTTTATTAGGGATACATTAAACTCTTTACATAGAAAACCTAGAAAGGGAAAAGATCATGGGGCATGATTTCGTTGAAATGACTCCACTAGTGTATTTTCTATATTATGAATGATACCCTTCCCCTTAATTTGGGAAATTTTTGATACAATATAATCAACATGAACTATTAAGGATAAATTATATGGAAAAAGTTATAAGAGCCTTGAGATATTGGAGTTATCTTCAAGTGATTGTTTGTGTTTGTTCAATCATTCTCTTTTGAGTAGAGAAGACTACGGAGCAAGAAGTCCAACATAATCTTAGCATTGACATCAAGAATCAAAGTTGATGACGATATAATGCATCAATCTTACTAGTGATAGCTC